GGAACCAGCTGTAGCTTCACGTGTTCAGATGGCACAACTGGAACCAGCTGTAGCTTCACGTGTTCAGATGGCACAGCTGGAACCAGCTGTAGCTTCACGTGTTCAGACGGCACAGCTTCAGAAACTCGGCGTGCTTTTCATGTTCTCGCTGCAGCCGTGAGCTCAGTCAGAAGAGCTCATTTTTAAACCAGCCGTTACCAAAGTGCTTAACTATAAAAATCAATGGCAGTAATTTAATGAAGAAAAAACCAAAATATTTAAAAGCACACTGTTGAAAGTCATTGAAAGCATGTTTTTAAAAGAGTTGAAGCAGGGAGTTTGTGATGAGGGTCAGACTGTGCAAAAGTTTAGAGTCCACGACTGGAACAGGCCAAAGCAGCTGCTCTGATGATCTCAGCACCAGAGAAGGAACATGGTTGAAGGAGCTCTGAGATACGAGGGGGCAAGGTTAAAGGTCAACAGGACAGTTTAAAATGTGACACATGAGGAGCCAGTGAAGGAGGACACACTGGTGGAATATGATCAAATCTTCAAGCTCCTGTTCAGAGCCGAGCTGGAGACGTGAAGCGGACCTGACTGACCCCAACATAAACTCGGTAACGAAGGCATGGACTGTTTTTCAGGGTCACGTTTGATCAGCTTGAGCTCTCTGCCTTATGTCAGTGAGGCACGACAAGTAAAATACTAATAAGCAGAAATACTTTTGACCACCTGACTGTTTTCTGGATTATTTCAACACTTTCATGGTCAAAATTGCAGAATTTACACGTTGCCTGTTCAAACAGAAGAAATGTTCTGGGTGAGGCCGTGCAGTGCTGGGGTTCACCTCGGGGGTGTTAGTTGGAGCATGCCCCTTGCTGTCTACATCGCCAATATGTTTGATTACACACGTGCTGCACAGGCTGACGTTCTACAGTCTGTCTCATGTTGAATGAACGTGTGTGACAGTTCTTGGGTCATAATGCACAGTGAAAATACACAGGGTGCAGCAGAAAGTACCTTGCTGCACCAATAGGGGGCAGTGCTGCCCCATGGGGACAATGAAGCAGGTGCTGTGCTTCATGTGTTGGGTGGGGGTGAAGCAAACGGTACATTCATTTAAATTTGTTTAGACAAAATGGAAGTCCAATCTCAAAACTGAAGGATTTTTCTATCTAAAAATAAAGGTAAGATAATGCATGTTTTTATTTATTTATTTAAAAAGAGAGGAGTATGGAGTTTATTAAAGAACAATTAGATGCCTTTAAAAAAAAAAGGCTAAATTGAAATATGGGTTCATTAGAACATTTGACTCCAGTCAGTGCCTCAGCTGTCACAAAGCTCACTGCACGTCATTTACTAAATACTAGAATCAGAAAAGGAACTGTAAACAATAATTATCCACTGATTATGATAAGACAGCAAACAACATGAAGGCCGTGGTTCGTGGATTTAACAAGCTTTTTGTAAAAAGTATAATAATTGGGGACCAAAATTGGCAAAGTTACTGATACTCATTCAAAAGTGGGGGAGGGAATTCAAGATAAAGTATAGACATGTATGTTCTTTTAGTGCAAATGAAGAAAATAAAATTATTGATATTATTAATGGATGCATAAACAAAACTTCTGCTGATTGGAATGGAATTGATTAGTTAAAGATGTTGTAAAACCACTAACTTACATATTTAATTTGTCTTTCCAAATAGGTATATTTCAAAATAAAATGAAGATTGCAAAGGTTATTTTACAAATTATAAACTAGTGTTCCTACTTTCACAATTCTCCAAGATCCTGGGAAACCTTTACGTGGACAGATCCTGTTATTCAGAAGCATCAGCTGTTGTCAGACAGCCAGTATGGATTTAGAGCAAACTGGTCAACAGCCACGGCATTAACACACTTAACTGAAGAAATAGTTGCAGAGACAAGGAAACAGAACACTGTGAGATAAGATAAGATAGAACTTTATTGATCCCACAGGAAATTGTTGTGCCAGAGTTTCAGTACAAAGGAACATACACAAGAATCACAAGATATAAAGATACCAACAAAGTTCTAAACAAGTGCAGATAGAAAAATTCAAATGTTTATTGTGGTGCAGGATTAATTTTATTGTCCTATGTGCAGAAAGAGGGAGGAGTTAAAAAGTTTGATAGCCACAGGGAGGAAGGACTTCCTGTGGTGTTCTGTGGAGCACCTCATGGTCACAGTCTAGGACTGAAGGTGCTGTGGTAGAGTCCAGGGTGTCCTGCAGGGGGGGTGACGTGTTGTTCAGGATCTGGATCAGGTTCCTCATCATCCTCTGCTCAGACACCTCTGTCAGACTGCAGGTCCACACCCAGAACTGAGCCAGCTCTCCTGATTAGTTTATCAAGTCTGTTGAGATCAGCTTTCTTCACCCTGCTGCCCCAACACACCACAATGTAGAAGAAGACGCTGGAGACCACCGAGTGGTAAAACATCTGCAGCATGGTCCTGCAGAGACCACCGAGTGGTAAAACATCTGCAGCATGGTCCTGCAGAGACCACCGAGAGGTAAAACATCTGCAGCATGGTCCTGCGGAGACCACCGATAGGTAAAACATTGCAGCGTGGTCCTGCGGAGACCACCGAGAGGTAAAACGTCTGCAGCGTGGTCCTGCGGAGACCACCGAGTGGTAAAACGTCTGCAGCGTGGTCCCGCGGAGACCACCGAGAGGTAAAACGTCTGCAGCGTGGTCCGGCGGAGACCACCGAGTGGTAAAACGTCTGCAGCGTGGTCCCGCGGAGACCACCGAGAGGTAAAACATCTGCAGCGTGGTCCCGCGGAGACCACCGAGAGGTAAAACATCTGTAGCATGGTCCCGCGGAGACCACCGAGAGGTAAAACATCTGCAGCGTGGTCCTGCGGAGACCACAGCGTGGTCCTGCGGAGACCACCGAGAGGTAAAACGTCTGCAGCGTGGTCCTGCAGAGACCACCGAGTGGTAAAACGTCTGCAGCGTGGTCCTGCAGAGACCACGAGTGGTGAAACGTCTGCAGCGTGGTCCTGCAGAGACCACGAGTGGTGAAACGTCTGCAGCGTGGTCCTGCAGAGACCACTGAGTGGTAAAACGTCTGCAGCGTGGTCCCGCGGAGACCACCGAGAGG